AGAACATTCATCAACCGTGTATAAGCATCATTACTACAATGATTGAGAACGCTTGGGGTTAGATTTCTTGGATGGGTCTGCGGCAAAGGACAGTTCCAGTGACGTAAATGAATCGGCGTGCACAGTGACGCACACTGCCTGCCCTTGGAAAGCTAGGCTTAAAGCATTATAACTGAAAGTTAATTATGGGAGCTGTGGTTAGAGCGCACGAGTTGTTATAGGATGTTTTAATTACTATAAAAATTTCGTCATAAATGAGTTTCCCCGAGGTAAAGAAACGAAACAAGGCAACCGATTCCGTTTGGTTTTGTACGAAGTGTACGCCATTCCACTCGTCCGATGCATAGTTATGCGAATGCAGAAGTGTGACAGACTGACAGATTGTAGAGCGAGCAAATGTCGCAAGGTCTCTCTCCTTGAACCTAAACGGACAAGTGCCTCGAACTAGATGTACAATATGAAACTATAATTCGGAACAGAACAGTCATACCGGGCAAGGGAGCCGTGATTGAATTAGGTATTCCGAACATGCTGACTCCTGTTCCAAAACTGGGAGCTGCTTGCTCCGCATAATTCATCAAAACGTCACGGTACATTCAACGCTGCTGAAAGAACCGCAGAATACGTGCCCGTTAATGCCACCCACATCATAGCTTCGACCGCTGCCAAAATGGGGACAGTTAAGGTCGCAAATACTACCACGAGTCCTAGTATACCGTCGGTTGTCCGACAAAAGAAAGCAACCACACAATCCTCCATAAAGGAGAATATCAGGCAACATCATAATTATCTTGCTGTTATAGGCTCCGAGGTGACTGAATTGGAGGTGAACTCCATCAAAGACAAGCTGGTAGAAGAGCAGAAACAGTGGGATGCCATTTGCCAATTAATTGTGGTCCAAGAAAAACCGGCAGGCATGATGCCGATGGTCCATCCTCCAAGCTGGGCACACTACACTGAAGAAAGATTATTCCAAGTAACGTTCAGCTAGATGATGCAGAGGCCGTTCTCTTGTCAGCTACTCGCCTCCAAACTACTCAATATACTGATAGCATTTTTTTCAGATGATCATTGCAAGGAACGCCAGAAACACGAACTAAACTCGGACAATCGTAAACAAAAAGGCGTAAAATCGATCATTGTCCACGGTGTCCTCGAGCTTCAGACTCTAAGCAAGTTAGAGGCTCAAGCACACGACTGGGATGAATGGTGCTCCATTCGCGAAGCGCTTGCCCTCGAAAATGCGATCGCCAATTCTATCACCACGTTTCAATCGCCACACAGCTACAGACTGAACAGTCTCCGAGTGATAAAAGTCACATTGTAAATCAAACCAGGATGAAAAAGCGATCGAACTCTGGCTCAAATTGCGCAAAAAGCTGTCATTCGAAGTACTTATAAGTCGACAGATAACCGGAAACAAATCGACGAGATAACACCGAACAAGCAGGTCGTGTGCCCCTCAGAACCGGGATGCAGTCGAAAAATACCTTTAGCTGAAGGAATCCTAGGTTTTCAGCCACCTACTGAAGCCGAGTACTCTACATACGAAAGCGGAATTGCTCCGGGGCCTGTGATTATGTTACGATAAAGAAACCTACCCAAAAACTGCACCTATAAATACACTGCTAACTTCAGAGGCCCGCATCTGCCTGTATAACAATGCACAGAGTCTACTCAATAAGCTGTTTGAGCTTCATACTCGTCAGGTTTCCAATGCTTGGGACATCGTCATGATAAGCGAAACATGGATAATCATTGATGCAAATATAGCCCTGCCCGATACAGTTCTCATACAAAACTATCGATCATGTAGAGGAGGTGTGTTCTTGAACCATTGCTTTGATCTGCATTTCGATATCATAAACGATACAGATACGTAAGTAGTTGATTGTTTAGGTTGTCTCCTCATCTGAAACGCGGTGTGGTTACTAACAATAGTTTGCCGCCCTCCAATTAGCACCTTGCAAGTGGATCGCCGCCTATCATCTGCTTTGAGGTGTGGTGGTACGGCCATACAGTCACGTTACTTTGATGGGTGACATTCACCTTCACGCGAGTGAAGTCCCAGCTTCACTGAGCAAACAACTCAAAGCATATTGGAAAGAAGTAATCACCGATGTACCGCACTACAACCATGTAATCGCTCCCACAAAATTCGGCACTGCTGACTTAGACTTTGTACTCAGCAACGAGTAACTAATGGTTGACACCGTAACCATAGACCCACAGCTTGGTTTTAGCAACCATGTGGCGCTGCTCTTCCGTTACATCTGCTAGGCGGAATACATCCGTGAATACAACGAGGAGGTCCACGTCGTCATCCATTACGGTATACTGTCGGATCTCGTTCAAGCCACCAACTCGTACTATCTAGCTGAGCAGCCTCCCGACATCGTCTGGAAGGAATCTGTCGCCCACTTTCCAGGGCTAGTGACAAATGCGTTGGAAACCAAAGTCTTTCGCTAGAAGCAAACAAAGTCCTTCCTGAGAAGCCGGACCAGAAAATGCATGACTTCATGGGGTTTGATCTGGCGCGCTTATAAATCCTGTCCAGATGCGCAGGCCTGGGATGCGTATATAACTCATTGAAACAACTGTGTCAAATTAATCCGCAACGATAAGCTTAAAAACCAAAAGGACTTAGCGACGAAATTCAGTACTAATTCTAAGATGATCTACAGGCAAGTAAACAAAACCCGACGAGCGCAGCGCGGAGTCCCAGTCCTACATGCAGCAGATAGTCTGGTGTTCAAAATATAAGATGCTACGGACTCTCTTCGACGACAGGTTACCCGCACTTTCCAAAGTGAATCATCACCTCACCAGTTCTTGTCACATGCCACTCCGCCCCCAGTGTTAAGCTATGAATCCATCCCTGCAGCAACTGTGATGAAAAGATTACTATCCTTGCGCATGCACATCCATCTTGGCGTAGAAAACATAAGACCGAAGGCATTAAAGACGGCCGCAAGAAAAATCGCCGAAGCACTGTCTCGGTTCTTTCAACGAGGCTTTGATGGAAGGTAGATTCCCACAACGTGGAAACATAACATATCCAATCCAATTTTCAAAAGTGGGAATCGTGTGGAGCCCTCGAATTACCGTCCAATCACTCTGCTCCCGATTTCATCAAAAGTAGGGGAAGATAATATCCTAGAGGCGATTACAAGATACTTTGTAAGTAACCACCTCATATTGTCGCAGCAACATGGATTCCGCCGCAATCGGACCTGCACTACAAACCTGTTGCTAGGCCGAGCAATCTGGACGAACTCAACCGATGCCAGACAAGTTGACATCGTATACCTAGACTTCTGCGAAGCATTCAGTCGCTTGGATCACCGAATTCTTTTGCATAAACTTCGAAACTATGAAATAGGTGGCCCTGTGCTTGGTTGGATAAGCAACTTCCTCATTCAACGTTAGCTGAATCTGAGAGTCCGCAGCTTTATCTGCGACCGCTGTCCAGTGTGGTGGACCCCAACGATCGATATTTGAACCACTTTTACTCCTATTGTGTGCTAGTGTGTTCCAGTCGAACTTTCTACTATTTGCAGACGTCAAGATCTGACAAGAAATCAAGACCGAGGATGATGATACGGTACTGCAGAGATCTGGGTAGGTCGTATACATGGTCATCGGAAAACTAATTCAAGTTTAAAATGGTGTACTCATGAATATAGACTGGGGGGAAAGCAGTTGCGACGTGCTACACAGAAAAGTGACCTAGAGGTAATGGTGGTGTCGAGAAGAGCCAGGCAGTATATAATCCTCTTACGATGGGTGTTCGGGAAGCTCGAGCTACCTAACTTACCGTAAATGGTGAACGGCTATTTGATGCTCCATGTGAAATAGGCGATCCAGTCCTGGCGGGATCGAGGCAAACACGATGTCGATGCGTTCGAGACGCAACAATAATCGTTAGAGGAATGTTTCACCTTCTCTACCAACACAGAGTGCAGGCCATATGCTTGTACAGTGGTGAATATCAGTGTCTGCGAAGAGATCTTATCATGGTGTAGCAAGTAGTGGCCACCTCTAATCACGCCTGGCGCAATCTTTAGCCACAATATCAACCTGAGAGGCCATCAAGTCAAATTGGTCAGGTACTACGGTCGACTTGATTGACGACAAAAGTGTTTCTCCCCTGTTTCTCTCCCCGGAACGCTTTTCAAACTCATGTTATGGTTAATTTTAGTGTATTCTTCTCAGAAGCTCGCGAGCTACATAGTTTAACCACAATTCGGAAAAGCACCAGACGCGTTTCACCCCAATGGGGCTCGTCAGTGGTGCGCATTCCCCCGGTTCCCATACTGGGGATCGAACCTATGACTGCTAGAGTCTGACGCCAACTAGCCAGCAGCTTAAGTCGCTGGGCCATGGGGAACGGCGCCTGGGCTATATAATTTGGGATATAGAACGACCTATCTTTCACTGTCAAGCAGGTTACTACCTTTGCAGATGACAGTGGCTGGCGTCCCGGGTCATACCCCCTCACTAGACGTTAAGTCCATAGCATTTGAAAGTAAGAGGCCAAAGTTTATATTACTTATTATGGTTGCCCCCTCCCACATTAACAGTTTAGAAAACGAATAAATTAAACTCTATCCATTTTGCATTAACTGCTATAAACGGTTTTCATCGGAAGATGAAATAACGCAAACCAAAATTGAGTACCGGTGAGGAGACCAGCATGTGTACATGTGAATAACCCGGTGAGTCGTCCTAAAACTTGAATCCTTCCTTTTTCTCCAATCACTTTAAACCTTGATTTTATAATCCGTACTCCAACAGGGGTTGTAGAGCATTAGATTTTTGCACGTTATCAATCATTGCTGATGGTTACGTGGGGAAAATGTGTCAGTGTAATAACTTCTATTGTGGTGTTGCGCACTTGAGAGAGCAACAGGCACTAGTGATAAAGAGTGGTTACAAATAGTAAACCTATGAGCCAAAACATACGTTTGATATGTGCATCTCATCTAGTGAAAACTCACCCCTCAAATGGGATATTCTATAGAGTTCTGCCTCACCGACACCGTTCGCACATTGTGTCCACAACGTCAGACAGACTGTAAGCAATAACTTCGCTTCATACATCCGGGTGTGGGCCAACATTCGATGATTAGGCACCGTAATTGATCGAGCTACATTGCCAGTCACCACAAGCTGAACAAGCGTTGGCACACAGCTTAACAGTTTATGTAGTGTTACTACGGAAGCAAACGGTATTCATCTATGAGTGAGCAACTGGAGTTGGCTTTCGGTCGATTGCGTGCCATCAGATGTCAGGTGGAGCAGTGATTACCCGCAAGGAGTGGCAAGTTCCTTGTGTGACTGGTAAAACAGAGCATGCTCGCTCGTTCATACCAAAGTATGTGGGTGCGTAAACAGCCAGACACGCACCTGCTTCACACAGAACTTGCTGCGACCTGACAAGCTGGCTGCGTCACACCGTGTGCGCATTGTATCCATGCGCACCGTAGTAGTTGACACAACCGGAAAGCATACTTAGCACACACACGTTGTGCGGAAGCGGCAGGCAAAGATCACAGGGAAGAGAGTAAAGGTAAGGATAAGGAGAGGAAACAGTTATAGGCATCATAGATGAGATAAAACGAAACATCACTAGGCCTTCGACTGACCAGAGAGTGGGCCACAATAGTTCAATAGTTCAATAGTGTATGATGGGATAAAAAGCATTGGCTTTACAAGACCCATAGGATGGTAAATGCAAATAGATAAAAATCATTAGATTCCGACATGGAACTGAAATGCCAATAGTCCAAACCTGGTACATCACACCACAATGTGTTGTTTGTCACTCAGATGAATGTCTAACAATTGTTTGAAGGCTGTAATGTTCGGAGCGTTTACCACATGCGTTGGCAAGTCATTCCATTGTGAACAGATTCTAAGAGAGTAAAAATATTTTCTACAATCTAATCGGGAGTGTTGGATTATCAGCTTGAGGTTATGACCTCTCGATCGCTTATATGAGGCTAGGGTGAGCAGCGATTTGCACGGGTGATCGCTTTCCGTTAATATCCGGTATGCGAGAATGAGATCTCCGCGTAGTCGTCGGTATTCGGAGGAAAACATTCCGATTAAACTGAGACGCACTTCATAATTGAGACCAGATAATCCGCGTGTTGCCTTGGTAGCTCTTCGTTGGGGCTGCTCTAAGAGATGAATGTCTCGTTTTAACCATGGGCACCAAGCCTGGACGGCATATTCGACGTGGGGACGGATATAGGAGTTGACAAGCATGGGTACCAACCAAGTAACAAGCGGTAGGGTTTTTGTTTATGCCCTCATGGTTAACCCAAGGTAGGGCAATGTAGTCCCGAGTAAACAAATCGAGAGCCTTAGGACGAGTCCACTCTGATCAGAAGAAGATTAACAGAAGTGAAGATACGGGGTCAAAAAGAAATGTAAAGTTCAGTAAGTTAGGTCAAGTCCCCATGCCGCTGCCGTGTGCACTAGAGATGGCGGTTTTGTTGCAATATGTTTGACTGGGCTGGTGAATTCACCTGCTGAGGTGGCTAAGGATAGCAGTTTATCAAACAGACACACTAGGGGTAAGCTAAAGGAGCGCTGCGGCGATGTATTATTACATCCTTGACAGGCAGTGTAGACGACGATAGAAGCTTTAGTGTGTGAGCTAAATTTGAACCGTTGTTATAGCAGCACTTCCCACTTGTCTTTCAGAGTCGCGGTCCAGTGCCGTCACAGAAGAGTAATAAACCGAAGAACACCGTTAACTCTACCTTTTATAGTGTCCAGATGTCAATATAATCTCCTGCTTCGCCTTGGAGTTATACCTGCATTGTACCTTACATGTCGTACATGTTGAGCAATAGTGGCACTGTAGGGGGAGTTCGGCAAAAGCCGATAGTGCCCGGTGATAAGAAAAAGCAGAAATGTTGCATCACAGAGTAAGTAGTATAACCTATGTTGCTTGCTAAAAGATGTGCTTCACAACCGAGTTCCATCTTGGTTGCGCCGATTCAGTTGGGTCAGTAGGGATTAAGACGTCAACAAAGGGAGAGGATGGAGACTATCTGTACACACCTTCATTAATAGACAATCCTGTCCTATGAGTAACACCTAGCACGAAGGCTATCAAATCACTTTTTTACCTTTGGAGTACCCACTACGGTACTGCACTGTAAGTAAAATGGCGAAATTTCGGTTTAAAGTGTACCAAATTTCAGTCAAACATTGAACATCATGCTACAGACAAGCACCAGATGCCTCAAAATTCCAAGCACACGTTTTAGTTGATTTACGAGGTTTGATATTATCAAACGCATCCATATGTCGCTGCAGATATATGCACCGGGTGATAGTTAGGATACAAGAGACTGATAATTCTAGAGTCCAAAGTATTGGTGGATAAGCAGGCTGCATTCTTTCAGTTATTTGGTCACACTTTACGGTGGGCACAGAGGGTTAGCACCAAACTTGAACCGGTGTGATTGCTGCCATGAATACAGACAGACCCAAGATATCAGCCATTACACTGGTTTGCAATGTTAACTGGACCGAGTTTAGGGTAGACCAGGATATATAACATTCCCCTGTACCTAGTAAATCGTATAGTCCCACTATCGAGTTGCATATCGCTGTTATAGCAAATCAGACAATAGCGAACATGTGACAGGTCAAATAGGCGAAAGATAAAGTTTCCACAATATACGACTATTAGGACAACACTGTTGAAATCGATTGTTGCATCAGAATCATTGCTTTACTCAGTCGAAGGCCCCGATACTCGTGAAGTGGAAATGCCGTTGACTCGGATCATTAAGTCTGATGATGTCCTAGAGACTTAACAACTTTTGACAGCTGTTCGAGCTCAAACTACCTAGTAATGTGGTTCGCTGTGAAGACATCAATGCCAGACGACCAATTACTGTGTATCATTTCCCAATGGGAGCAATGCGTCGCAACCTAAATAAGCGTGCATACTGGATGGTCACACACTCGGAACCTTCTCATCTAGTTCGATGCAATGCAACTGAATGGTCGGTCTATGATAGCTCTTTCAGTGTTCTGCTAACTTTGCCAGATGTCCGGTGGAGCATGTAATACAATATGACATCGCCTGTGATTGGTAATAACCCGTGAAGGCATCTAGAAGATTGAAGCTTCCACACCGGGTCTTTCATGTATCTGCACTGTGATTTGTCACAAGAGTTAATTAGGTGGGAGCAACTTCGTAACTCGATCAACCGCCAACCGGGATAGTTTATTGCGAAATGAAGAAACAGTGGGGTAAAATGATGAATGTCTAGACTCCCTAACGTGATGTTTCAGCCGAATGTGCGTCAGAGTAACACTGTTCCGTAAAAGCGGTAACTAGCAGGTGCCAAATGGTTTCATACTGTTCTAATTAGCTACTCACATGATAGTGAGGTGTCAACACATGGTTACTCCCATCAGTGGGTTAGCCCAAAGGCTTTAAGTCAAGAATTCTTCGCGTTGACTTGCAGCCAGGCACGGCCATGGAAGATGTTTTGCTGTCTACACACCTCTTCCAAAGCAACACTGTCCTTGGCGCCTACCACATTCGTATCTTCCCCGCTATTTCTTAGACTGAGCGTACAGACAGACAGCAGCCGACGACACCCACCGAACCCTGCTCCATCATAGTGCACGGCGTTCTAGAACTGCATGCCCATGACGCAACCTTACAACATCCACAGCACCATGAGTGCGACCAATGGCGGTTTCTTCAGCAGATACTGACCATTGTCAATATAACCAAGAAGGGAGCACACCGCCTATCACATCCAACAAGTTATAAAGGAACGGCCCACCGTCTCCTGAAAGTGACTTTCCTCGCCGCTAGTATGGCAACCGACGTCCTCACCGCCTGGTATGCTAATAAGAGACGAGCACCATCAGATGCTCCGCTTATGTAAACAAAGCCACTCAGTGACGAGACGTAAGGCCTGCCACACACCCCAGCCTCCTCGATACCTTCACTACACGCTGCTTTAACTGTATCTAGGTTGTCCACTACCGGAGCAACTTCCCCACTGCCTAAAGTCACCTGCTACCCTACACATCCTTACTGGCAGCCCCCAACCAACCTCACGCATCTATCCACCCCTGCTCTGATGATCCATACCCCGCTTCCCAAAGTTACAGCAATCATAACGGCTCTATTTCTCCAAACTAAAAAACGGTGTACTGCTGGTCACTTGTTGGCCGGCAGCGCGGCAATTGGTCCAGCACTTGTCACGCAGACAAGTCTCGCTTTCATTTAAACGAATGCACAGGGCCTCCTACGCAAACTTCCGGAACTGCAATCTCGACTTCCGTCAACGTCAGCGGACCCAATAGCCATAATGGAAATACGGCTGTCCGGCGGCATTACCGACAGTGAAAGCCAACTTCATCACATGTCCGTCATCCGCTCAGATCGTGCAACCACAGGTGGTGGTATCGCAATGTATTACGGCACATCCTTCGGTTGCGCCAGCGTGGCAGACTCTGCTTTGCAGTCTCCTGACACCATGTGGTGCGAAGTCGTACTAACTGCCAAACATTCCTGCTGTCTTAGTATCATTTATGGCCCCACAGAAGCTCTTCCGAGAATAACACAAGATTCATGCACGATATCCATTTCGTTCTGTCCCTCAGATACACACACCTTATTATCACGGGAGACGTCAATCTACCCGGTCTATTTCGCGCCGTTCTAACGACTGGTTCCTTTGCGACAAGCTTCCTTGAGCTTCTGCACACGACCCCGCTGTACCACCATATTTGCCAGCCAAACAGATTCCGAACCAACAATCAAGCATCTCTGCTGAACCTCATCCTCACCAAGTAAGAAGTGATGGTTGAGTACGTCAAATATGACGCCCCTTTGGGGTTCAACGATCACCGCGTTCTCCGGTACGACTTTGTGTGCTTTGCTGAAAAGCCTTCCGGCATGCTGACTTACACGAAACGCTGGACTGAGTACGAAAAGTTAAGCACTCTCATTTCCGCAAAAAGTTGGTTACCGAAATCTCACTTGAGTGGCGTAGTCAATGTTCTGCACTACTCAACGTGAACCGGGCTCTTTAACCATGACCTGTAAACAGGTTTCCATAGGGAAG